ATCTAGTGTAAACATTCTCTATAATATCACCCAGAGCTAACAGATAACATTTTAGTATATTTCTTTCCCATCCCTACTATGTGTGTACGTACTGGAATCATTCTGTAGTTTTAGATCTTGTGTAGCTCACACAGTAACAGTAGTACCATATCTCGTGTTTGAGGCAGTAAGCACTTCACAATAACTTTATGAAGGTAGACACTATTGTGCCTAATTTATAGATGAGGAATCTGAAACATCACCATGTTAGGTAATTCGCTCTATAGAAGCTCTATTAGTTATCAATTGCTACATACAAATTAACCCAAAACTTTGTGGCTTAAAGCAGCAGTCACTTAAGATCTCAGAGCTTCCATGGTTCCAGAATCTAGACAGAGTGCAGTTGGATACTCTGGCTTAACTAGGAATGAATGTGCTTTCAGCCCACTCAGGCAGTCGTTGGCAGGATGAAGTTCCTTGTCATGTGGGCCTCTCCTTAGGGAATCTCAGAGCAGGGCAGCTTGGTTTATCAGAACAAGAGCCTGAGAGTGTGAGCAAGGCAGAATGCAGTGTTTTATAGCCCACTCTTGGAACAGACATCCTATTATGTTTGCTGTATTCTGTTCTTTAGAAGCCAGTCACTAGGTCCTGCCCACACTCACAGGGAAGGAATTACACAAGGGCAACTTGAACTTGACCTAACAAAGGTTGGGGCCAGTGACTGTTGGACCATGTGTGCTCAATCCTAAAATCACATGAGAGCTGCTTGGAGCCCACAACATTTCAGAAATAGTGACAGGACTTAGAATATAAGGTGATATTACTAAGAACCTCAGTCTCATCTCAAAACTTAGGATCTTAAATTGTGAGGAAAGGGGGCAGATTGTGGAGAGTGTATGTAGGCCAGGTGGCTTCTTCCTGAGTTCATGGCTGGCCTGGAAAGGCTACATTGAGCAGGCTCATCAATTGTGCTGATAAGAAGGGGAACCCTAGAAACAGTTTTGGGCCCAATGGCAGACACCACTGCCTCCTTGGTCACTGTCCTATGTCACCTCCTCTTTGGGGGAGCTAGGACTTAGGACACTTGAACTGAGAAACAATTTAATAACCAAGTATACCAAGCACCTAACTTCCAGCCAGGGAATCTCAAAATGGTTAAGCATATCTTCTTTACATAGAGACATATATAAATATTTAAACGCTTAGATGTTATATTCCTAATAAACCATCATGAGGCTTTTCTTTATGGCATCACCAGCTTCTACAGGTAACACTGCATGATTTGCAAGAGTTATTACTCCTTACATGGTTCCTGTACTAAGGATTATATCTAGCCAATGGCTGGCTAAGCCAATAAATGCTGACTTAGGGCGCCTGGGTGGCTCAGTTGGTTAAGCGACTGCCTTCGGCTCAGGTCATGATCCTGGAGTCCCGGGATCGAGTCCCGCATCGGGCTCCCTGCTCGGCAGGGAGTCTGCTTCTCCCTCTGACCCTCCTCCCTCTCATGCTCTCTGTCTCTCATTCTCTCTGTCTCAAATAAATAAATAAAATCTTAAAAAAAAAAATAAAATAAAATAAAATAAAAAAAAATAAATGCTGACTTAATGACTAGAAACTGGCTTGGCTTAAAATTTTAAAGTTTACTGGTTTTTTTAAGATTTTATGTATTACTTTTAGAGAGAGAGAGCACAAGCAGGGAGGGGCAGAGGGAGAGGGAGAAAGAATCTAAAGCAAACTCTGCAGAGCATGGAGCCTGACGAGGGGCTTGATCCCACAACTGAGCTACCCAGGTACCCCTAAAATTAACTTTTTAACTGACCGGTTAACCTTAAACCTTTAGGGTTAAGGAGTTTCAAGTATTTTGACCAAAAGTTAGAGCTCAGTCACTTCCGATACACATCATTTCATCTGTCATAAGCTCTCCTTCTCTTTGATTTGTGTAATACCTACCAGACAGAAACACCTTTAAATTCCCTGCTACAATCCATGTTAACTGATGGCAAAGCTATGGGAAAGCAACACTTTTAAATACAAGTAGAGTACCCTCCTGATCTTGTTTTGGTTTGGAAAACATCAAAAACATTAATGGGAAATGCTGCAGTTTCCTATTTTCTGATGAACACTTCCAAGAAGCACAGACATAATATGGATTCAGCCTTTGTTCATTCAAGAATTAGGATATCTTTCAATAGGTAACTAACTCCTCTCTCTAGTGGCAGGAACAGACGCTTAAAGAAAAGGCTGCTTCTTCAGACTAGAAGCACCTAGAATCCACCATACTATCTCTTCTCTTACCTTTTCATACTTAAGCTTCAGGAACTATATGCTAAAATAATCTTTACTTACATTCTGCACAACAAATAATACCACCATGTTCCTTACCTTACTTCATTGACTGTGTTGTTATGGTCAGGAATAGTACTAGACTTGTGGCTAGGGACCCTCGGATAACCACACCACAAGAACTGCAGCTCTGAGACTGGCAAAAAAAAATGGTGGCACCACAACACAGCGCCTTAAATGAAATGGACAAATTCACAGGACACCAACCACTGAAACTGACTCAAGAAGACACAGAGAAAGAAAAGAAGATGGCGGTGGAGTAGGAGGACCCTAGGCTTATCTTGTCCAACAAACACAACTAGATAATGATAAAATCAGCATAAATACCCCAGAAATCGACCTTAAGACTGACAGAACAAACTCCACAGCCAAAGGGATAGAAGAGGCCCATCGAAGAAGCAGGAAGTGTGGAGCTGTGTTTTAGGGGAGAAATGAATGATGGTTGCTCTGGCAGGGAGGGAGCTGTGGTCGTGGAGAAGGGCAAGAGAGAGGAACAGCCAGTGGAACACACCAGGGGATATTTCCTGGAAGCCACTGGCCTGGAAAATGACAAGGGGTTAATTTTGTGAGTTCTTGCAACCAGTGGAGCTTAAAGCCTGGAGTTTTAAAGGTCAGCAGGCTTGGCTGGGATAGAGCCCAGAGGGCACCGTGCTGCTCCAGAAGAGAAGGCAGGAAAACAGCCTGGGTGCAGACAGCATGGAAAGAGCCATGTGAAAAAATGCCTGGGACATGGGGGGGTGGCGGGGGATTATCAACATTCAGAGACACCTCTCTGGGAACAAAGGAGCTGGCTGGTGCCATTTCCCTCCACCACCCCTCAGCATAAACACAGAACCACCCGAAGGAAGCAGCCCAGCACTGACACTGGCTGTCCAACTTGCTTACATGAAACCGCACACTCTTGAGCTCTTAGGACTGCCTTCTTAGTCAAGCTTGCCTCAGTCCAAGCGTGGTGGGCCACTACCCCAGAAGACCAGCACAAACCCCTGCCCACACTACATCTCCCCACCAGAGAGTTCTGCAGCGCCTCTGTGGAAGTGGTATCAGGATTCATTTCATAAGCAGACCAGAGCACACCGAGTTAAAACTCACCACATTCAGGCCAGGAACCAAACACTGTCCACAGCAGGCAAGGAGAGCCTCTGCAGACGATTGGCCTAAAAGACAGAACAGCCAAAACACAACAGCAGAGTGCAGGCAGCACACACTGGAGACACTCCCTGAAGCACCAGGCTCGGGGTACTACATGACCTCCTTTTCATAAAGGCCATTACCAGGGGCAGGAAACCTAACTGGCTTTTCTAACACACAGGAAAAGGCAGAGACTAGACAAAATGCCAAGACGGGGTAATTTATCCCAAATGAAAGAACAAGATAAGGCCACGGCCAGAGATCAAAGCAAAAGAGATATAAGTAACATAACTGATGGAAAATTTAAACAACAATCATAAGAATACTCACTGGGCTTGAGAAAAGAATAGAAGATATCAGTGAGACCCTTACTACAGAGATAAAGGAGTTGAAAAAGAATCAGAAATGAAAAATGCAATAAATGAGATTGGAAACAGGCTTGATGCGATGACAAGCAGGCTGGAAGAAACAGAGGAATGAATTACTGAGTGAGAAGAGAAAATAAGGGAAAATAAAGAAGCTGAAAAAAGAGAAAAAGAATATGGAACATGAGAGTAGACTTAGGGAACTTAGTGACTCCATCAAACATAATAATATTTGTATCCATAGGTGTTCCAGAAGAGGAAGAGAGAGAAAAGGGGGCAGAAAATTTATTTCAAGAAATAAGAGAAGAAGACTTCCCTAATCTGGGGAAGGAAACAGATATCCAGATTCAGGAGGAACAGAGAACTCCCAACAAATCAATAAAAGCAGGTCAACACTAAGACATGTTGTAACTAAATTTGCAAAATATAGTAATAAAGAAAAAAAATCTTAAAAGCAACAAGACAAAAGTCTCTAACTTACAAGGGAAAACCCATAAGGCTAGCTGATTTCTCAACAGAAATATGGCAAGCCAGAAGAGAGTGGCATGATATATTCAAAAGTGCTGAATGGGAAAAATCTGCAGCCAAAAATACTCCATCCAGCAAAGCTATCGTTCAGAATAGAAGGAGAGAAAAAGCTTCCCTGACAAAAATGAAAGGAATCTGTGGCCACTAAACCAGCTCTGCAAGAAATATTAAAGGGGACTGTGAGTGCAAAGGAGAGACCAAAAGTGACAAAGGCGAGAAAGGATCAGAGAAAATCTCCAGAAACGAGAAAATAATAAAATGGCAATAAATACATGTCTATCAATAATTACTTTGAATGTAAATGGACTAAACACTCCAATCAAAAGACACAGGGTGTCAAAACAGATAAAAAAAAAACCTCCTTTATATGCTGCCTACAAGAGACTCATTTTAGACCTAAAGACACCTGCAGATTCAAAGTGAGGAGGCAGGGAAGTATTTACCACGCAAATGGATGTCAAAAGAAAGCCAGAGTACCAATGCATCTATTGAACAAACCAGACTTACAAAGACTCTAAAAACACAAAGGCTATAAAAACAGACAAAGGGGACAACCCAATAAGAAGATATAACAAGAGAGGACGACCCTGTGGCTGAGACTGTTGCAGCCTCGTCTGCCCGGCGAGGGATCCAAGCCAAACTATCATTGTCAGAATGTCGGGCAAAGACCGAATTGAAATCTTTCCCTCACGCATGGCACAGACCATCATGAAGGCTCGATTAAAAGGAGCACAGACAAGTCGAAACCTCCTGAAGAAAAAATCTGATGCCTTAACTCTTTGATTTCGACAGATCCTAAAGAAGATAATAGAGACTAAAATGTTGATGGGTGAAGTGATGAGAGAGGCTGCCTTTTCACTTGCTGAGGCCAAGTTCACAGCAGGGGATTTCAGCACCACAGTTATCCAAAATGTAAATAAAGCCCAAGTGAAGATCTGAGCTAAGAAAGATAACGTAGCAGGTGTTACTTTGCCAGTGTTTGAACATTACCATGAAGGAACTGACAGTTATGAACTGACTGGTTTAGCCAGAGGTGGGGAGCAGCTGGTGAAATTAAAGAGGAACTATGCCAAAGCAGTGGAGTTACTGATGGAACTAGCTTCGCTTCAGACTTCCTTTGTTACTTTGGATGAAGCCATTAAGATAAGCGACAAGCGTGTCAATGCCATTGAACGCGTCATCATTCCCCGTATTGAACATATCCTCGCTTACATCATCACAGAGCTGGATGAGAGCAAGCGAGAAGAGTTCTATAGATTAAAGAAAATACAGGAGAAGAAAAAGATTCTCAAGGAAAAATCAGAGAAAGACTTGGAGCAACGGAGGGCAGCTGGTGAGGTGATGGAGCCTGCTAATCTTTTGGCTGAAGAGAAGGATGAGGATCTTCTGTTTGAATAATCTTTCCTGCTCTGGTTCTTTCATAAGCCCTAACATGGCACCATTTTAATTCACGGTGTGTAGGTTTGGTATGTGTGGCTATTTATTTTTTGGCCTAAGAATTTCACTGGTGGTAAAATTTCCCTGGATGTTGGTTATGGGACTACCTTTGCAAAATCCTAATTCAGCAACCATTTATCACATGAGATTTGTAGACCCTGCCCAGGAACCTGTAGAATTTATTCAGCAGAAGCAGTACCCTGCTCCATGCACTTCTGTTCAAGTGATCTGCTTTCCAAGCATGTTAGGAAATCCCCGTTAGGAAACAGCAGTGGCCTCAGGCCAGCTAGGGCTGTGGCCGCCTGTGTTCCCACCTGCTCCGACACCAACACCGTGGCACTGTTGTCTGAGATCGCTGCGGCCATCTTGTGGAACCCTGGTACTTCTCTCCAGCTTTATGAAACCTTCACTATTTGCCTTGCCTGACAGGTCTCTGTCCTGTCGGTCATGGGAGTTCTGCCAATTTTAATGTGATTACGGTATAAAGAGTAAAATGATTTAAAAATGAAAAAAAAAGAAGATATAACAATTGTAAATATTTATGCCCCCAAATTGGGAGAAGCCCAATATATAAAACAATTAATAACAAACATAAAAGAACTATATGGATAATAACACATAATAGTAGGCGACTTTAATACCCCACTTACATTAATGGACAGATCACCTAAACAGAAAACCAACAAGGAAACAATGGCTTTGAGTGATGCACTGCACCAGATGGACTTAACAGATATATTCAGAACATTCCATCCTAAAGCAGAATACACATTCGTTTCAAGTGCACATGGAACCTTCTCCAGAACAGATCACATATTAGGTCACAAAACAGGCTTCAACAAAAGCAAAAAGATTGAGATCATACCCACCTTTTCTGACCACAATACTATGAAACTAGAAGTCAACCACAGGAAAAAATGTGGAAAGACCACAAATACATGGAGGTTAAAAAACATGCTACTAAACAATAAATGGGTTAACCAGGAAATCAAAAATACATGGCAACAAATGAAAACAAAACTGTAACAGTCCAAAACCTTTGGGATGCAGCAAAAGTGGTCCTAAGAGGGAAGCACATAGCAATACAGGCCTACCTCAAGAAGCAAGAAAAATTTCAAATAAACAACCTAACCTTACACCTAAAGGAGCTGGAAAAAGAACAACAAATGAAGCCTAACCAGCATAAGGGAAATAATAAAAATTAGAGCAGAAATAAGTGATATATAAACTAAAAAAAAACAAAAACAAAACAGGGGCGCCTGGGTGGCTCAGTTGTTAAGCATCTGTCTTCGGCTCAGGTCATGATCCCAGGGTCCTGGGATCGAGTCCTGCACTGAGCTCCCTGCTCCGCGGGAAGCCTGCTTCTCCCTCTCCCATTCCCCCTGCTTGTGTTCCCCTCTCTCACCATGTCTCTCTCTGTCAAATAAATAAATAAAATCTTAACAACAATAACAAAAAAGAAACTAAAAAAAAATAGATTGATAAAAGTAGGAGCTGGTTCTCTGAAAAAAATCAATAAAATTGATAAACCTCTAGCCAGACACATCAAGAAAAAAAGAGAAAGGACTCAAAATCACAAATGAGAGAGGAGAAATAACAATTATAAGAGAATATTATGAAAAATCATATGCCAACAAACTGGACAACCTGGAAGAAATGGATAAATTTCTAGAAACATAAACTACCAAAACTGAAACAAGAATAGAAAACTTGAACAGACTGATAAAAGTCCAGGGCCAGATGGCTTCACAGGGGAATTCTACCAAACATTTAAAGAATTAATACCTATTCTTCTCAAGCTGTTCCAAAAAATGGAAGAGGAAGGAAAACTTCCAAATCCATTCTATGAGGCCAGCATTACCCTGATACCAAAACCAGATAAAGACTCCACTAAAAAAGAGAACTATAGGCCAATATCCCTGATGAACATGGATGCAAAAATTCTCAAAAAAAAAAAAAAAATACTAGCAAACTGAATCCAACAGTACATTAAAAGAATCATTCACCACGATCAAGTAGGATTTATTCCTGGGCTGCAAGGGTGGTTCAACATATTCACAAATCAATCAACATGATACACCACATTAATAAAAGAAAGGATAAGAACCATATGAGCCTTTCAATAGATGCAGAAAAAGCATTTGACAAAGTACATCAATTCATGATAAAAACCCTCAACAAAGCAAGTTTAGAGGGAACATATTTCAACATAATAAAGACCATATATGAAAAACCCACAGTTAATATCATCCTCAATGGGAAAAACTGAGAGCTTTTCCTCTATGGTCAGGAACACGACAGGGATGTCTACTCTCACCACTTTTATTCAACATAGTACTGAAGTTCTAGCCATAGCAATCAGACAACAAAAAGAAATAAAAGTCATCCAAATTAACAAGGAAGAAGTAAAACTTTCACTATTTGCAGATGACATGATACTCTATCAGAAAACCTGAAAGACTCCAATAAAAAACTGCTAGGACTGATAAACAAATTCAGTAGAGTTGCAGGATACAAAATCAATGTCAGAAACCTGTTGCATTTCTATACACCAATAACGACGCAGCAGAAAGAGAAATCAAGGAATCGATCCCATTTACAACTGCACCAAAAACAAGATACCTAGGTATGGTACTGGCACAAAAATAGACACATAGAGCAATAGAACAGAAGAGAAAACCCAGAAATGAACCCACAACTATATGGTCAATTAATCTTTGACAAAGCAGGTAAGAACATCCAATGGCAAAAGATGGTCTCTTTAACAAGTGGTGTTGGGAAAACCAGGCAGAAACACGCAAAAGAAAGAAACTGGACCACTTTCTTACACCAAACATAAAAATCAATTCAAAATGGATTAAAGACCTAAATGTGAGACAGGAAACCATCAAAATCCTGGAGGAAAACACAGGCAGTAACCTCTTTGACATCAGCCACAGCAACTTCTTTCTAGATATGTCTCCTGAGGCAAGGGAAATAAAAGCAAAAATAAACTACTGGGACTACATCAAAATAAAAGCTTCTGCACAGTGAAGGAAAAAGCTGACAAAACTAAAGGGCAACCAACAGAATGAGAGAAGATATTTGCAAATGCCTTATCAGACAAAGGGTTAGTATCCAAAATATATAAAGAACTTATCAAATTCAACACCCCAAAACAACTAATCCAATTTAAAAATGTGCAGAAGACATGAATAGTTTTCCAAAGACATACAGATGGCCAACACATGAAAAGATGCTCAACATCACTTACTATCAGAGAAATGTGAATCAAAACCACAATGAGATATTACCTCACACCCGTCAGAGTGGCTAAAATAACAACACAAGAAACAAGAAGTGTTGACAGGAATGAGGAGAAAGAAGAACCCTCTTGCACTGTTGGTGGGAATGCAAACTGGGGCAGCCACTCTGGAAAACAGTATGGAGCTTCTTCAAAAAATTAAAAATAGAACTACCCTATGATCCAGCAATTGCACTACTGGGTATTTACCCAAAGGATACAAAAATACTAATTCAAAGGGATACATGCCAAATCTGGAAACAGACCAAGTGTCCATTGACTGATGAAAAAATAAAGATATGGTATATACACACACAATGGAATATTACTCAGCCATAAAAAAGAATGAAATCGTGCCATTTGCAACAACATGGATGGATTTAGACAGTATTACGTTAAGCAAAAGTCAGTTAGGGAAAGACAAATACCATATGATTTTATTCATATGTGAAATTTAAGAAACAAAACAAAAGACCAAAAGGGGGGACAAAAGAGACAAACCAAGAAACAGACTCTTAACTATAGAGAACAAACTGATGGTTACTGGAGGGGAGGGGGGTAAGGGGGTGGGGGGGTGAAGGTGATGGGGATTAAGGAGGGCACTTGTGATGAGGACCAGATGTTGTATGGAAGTGCTGAATCGATGTGCTGGATGTGTGACTAATATTATACTGTATATTAACTAACTGGAATTTAAATAGATCTTAAAACAACAACAACAACAACAACAAAAAGATGACAGAGAAATCTGCACAGAACTGCAACGAAGTTGGAGTAGCAACTTAAAAACTTCCCACAAAGAGAAGCCAGGCCCAAAGGAATGTGTCCATTTCTTCTAAAATATTCCCACCTCCCCAAACTCTTACCATGCATATACATATGTATGTATGTCTATGGTATTAATCACCCAGAAGCCCAGCAAGGCATCTCAGCTTGACTACACTTTAATTAGAAACAACTAGACAAGTAGAAAAAATTAGCAATTAGATATTTTTATATACAGATATAACCACCTCTAAGAGGTGAAGTTAAAGGAGGATGTTCTAGAGAATTTTTATGGTCCTTTTTAGCTCTGTAGGTCCACAACTCTGCATTTAATGGGAGAGGGCAATCAATTGTGCACCTGATACAGTCTCTGTAGGCGGTAAGACATAATACAAAGAGTAACACATCATTAAATCTTCTGTTATCACAGAAATAAGAAAAACTTTAGAAATGTTCATTTCAGCTCTAGTCAAAAACTAATAAAAAAAAGTTCGGTGTTCCCTACTAGAATATAATGGGAACAACTCCTGAAGGGCTCAACCTTCGAGGGCACAGAGAGATTTTAAACTATCAAGCCGTAAGCCCAGAAATAGAGCCCACAGTCCCACACTGGGCATTTCCTCAGGCAAAGCTGGGAACCACATCCTGACATCTTCTGTAACACAACAAGCTCTGTTACTTGGTTATTTCCAAGTTGACACCAATTCCACTGCTTAGTTTAGAAGTCCTTTTAAATAAAAAGAAAAGGGCACCACATTTGAGTTCTAAGTATATGTTAAAATTAGCTTCTCCCTCTTTTTCCTCTTCCTCTTCTTTTCTTCCAACTGGCTGGTCGCATCAGCAAAAAACATAACTTCACTTTTTGCCTCGCATTCCCTCTTGAGATATTCAAGACCTGCCATGTTGAAGCCAATAACATCCTGGGGGGTTGGGGGGGGATATAAGAAAGATTAAATGACCTTTCTTTCACTT